ATGACCTCATCTGTAGTTATAACCAGGACCTCACCTGTAGTTCTAAAGATGAACTCACCTGTAGTTCTAAAGATGACCTCACCTGTAGTTCTAACCATGACCTCAACTGTAGTTCTAACCATGACCTCATCTGTAGTTCTAATGATGACTTCACCTGTATATCAGGACACCACCTGTATACCACGACTTCACCTGTAGATTAGCGACTCACCTGCAGTTCGGCGATGGTGACCTTGTGGTAGATCTTCTCCTCGTCTCGCCGCTGGTCCTGAGGGACGGTGATCTTGGCGAGCGCCGTCTCAAACTCCAGGATCTGCTGCATCTGGATCAGGGTGGAGTTATTTTCTCCGCCTAGCAACAGGCCCAACTCCACCATGTAGTCCAGGTACGCCACCAGCACCTGGAGGGGGTCATGAGGATTCAAGGTTCAAAGGTTTTATTGTCTGTTGGGAAGATACTGAATGTCCTCCTCCAACATGAGAGCCACATGCTAACAAAGGTATCAACTGTAGCTACATGACAGGATGTGTGATGACCTAGAAGAGCATCAGGACTGTTTGAGGCATATGATAGCTATGTGATTAACATGATGATTCAGCCTCTATGGAGAGAGACATATGACAAGCATGATCATTTCTGACGTGGAGCTAATCTGAAGTAAACATTGAATACTGCTTTCTATTCCTCCATCTTGTGACTGTGGAACTCCCTCTCTTGGATATCAGCATGTGAAGGACACTGTTCAGGAACTAGTTGATGCTCTGTATGTGATGACTCCTTCCATTCTGGAGAGGATCACAGATACATGGATCCTGAGATTCAAGCTCAAGCTGGGGACATGTTTCTAACATTGTCATATGCACAAAGCCACAGTGTAGAAATGGCAATGAAATTATTCTGACCTGAGCTCATCCCACAATGCAACATATATATAAAAAACACAAAAGTAAAAAGTAGTGCAAAAAGAGCTTCTCCATCACAAGATGAACTCCACCTGTGTTTATATTATCAGCTGCAGGGAGTCTCACCTTCTCATTGGCAGTCTTGTTGAGGTAATAATCTCTGGACGGCAGGAAGAGCCCTGATTGGTCCACCTGTGTAGAGCAGGGTTAAAGGTGAGCCAATAACAGACACAGATATCTAACTTTCAACCCGGACTACCTGCCCTCCGACAAGAACATTTAAAATATAGAACAAAACACAAAATATCAGATTTATAACGCAAATTCTCTTCACTGCATTTCCTTAATGTGTTTCTTTCCTGTGCTTCTATATGTCTTGCTGATTGCTCTCTAAACAAATCAGATGTAGTACTTCTTTACCTCCATGAGGTGTGGTTCTGGTTCAATGTGGTTCTGGTTCAATGTGGTTCTGGTTCAATGTGGTTCTATAGAGCGGAGCAGTGATGACGTATTTTTGTAGTTCGACCCTGAAGGAAGCCGCTGGTTCCCTCGACAAAAAGCAACAGGATTTCTCCAGAAGATTTTGGAATATTGTAAAAAATAAGGTCTCTGGAAAACGAACCTGTTTGACAAATGCATGTTTTGTTCATCATAAATCTAATGTCCAGAAGCTAAATGCTAACGTTATGCTATAAAGGAACTACAGCCGAGTCCAGCAGCACGACTTCAACGTCACGCCAGCTTAAGATCCATATTCTCTAAGTGGTACAAGTTGAAGCGTTTGTTTGGACAGTCTGCAGGAGGCAGGGACTTGCTCTCAAGCAGAACAGAAACTAACTTAGAGGAGTGTTTACGTGTTCGGCGTAATGACGTACAACGGCCTCCACGACTTCTGTAGTCCTATTCAGCCACTTGGTAACAACCATCGTTTTTCAGACACGTCAACTCTTCAGAGATCACCAGTGGGGTCACGGCTGATGGATTTAATGTAGAACAAAACGTGATCCGTCTCTTCAATGTGTCTCAACCACAGACCTTAGTTCAGATATTTTCCAAAACCCTATGGAGAGATTCCATTGGCTCTGAGACGAGGGAACAGGAAGTGGTGAAATGCTGACTCACTTCCTGGTTTTAGGACTCGTTCCTGCACCACTCTATGTGGTCCTGGTTCTGGTTTACCTGGATGACGTTGCTGTTGGAGTGTTTGGGGTCTGCGCTGACTCCGACGCTGAAGAAAGGCTGTCCTCTGTAAGGGCCAGAAACCACCTTCAGGACCTCCATGAAGTTGTCTTTATCCCAAGGGCCCGTCATGTTCCAGCCCCCGATCTGAAGGAAGCCGGAGCGTTTACATTATATTACAGAACGTGGACTGGATCCCCACAAAAAACATACGCCTGTTTGCAGATGACGCTCTGCTTTTCACTTGAAAATGCTCAAATGAGTAAAAAATAAAAGGTGATCTTCGACAAGGTGAACGACCTGAGTCTATGTGTAAATCTGTTCTAATTATGGTCTGATATTCACATAAGTTACAATAATCAACAAACACACTCCGTTTCAACTCATAGCACACGTTATTATTTTATTCTCCATATTGAACGCATCATTCAAACATTCACGGTGTCCCCAGACTTCGACAAAAGGAACATGAGTCAGGAGATACACCTCATTTTAAAACTGTGGAACAAGGTTAGAAGTGTTGTTTGAGTTACTTTGACTTAATATTCACTCAAATTTGATTTGGTGTGGGGATGTTTGTCTACACTTGTGTCTTAGCTGAAGATCGGATAACATTTTATGGCCAATTCAAACCAGGAAACTCTAACTTCAAGCTTAACCCTTGAACATAACCCGGTCCGCAGCATATCTGCAGCAGGTGGTCCATCCAGGTTCAAAGAGAGCCCCCTTCATAGTACGGGAAACTCTGTATGCTGGATATCACCTGGCTAACCCTCTAATCTGGCTCCCTAGTGAACCCCTCAGGTGTGTGGTTACCTTGGCGATGAGGTCTACGAGTGGCTGGGCCCCCAGCTCCTCGATCCTCTGCGTGTTGAGGCAGGACAGGTAGTAGGACTGCGTCTTCCTCTCGGCTTCACTGCTGCCGTTAAACGTCCCGTTCTCTGCGGGGACACCACGACTCACGTTAGCCACGCCTACAGCTCGTTAACTCACATTACCCATGGTTATATCTCGTTAACTAATCTTGTTAACTCACGTTACCCACTGTTACATATTGACAACTCACTTTACCACAGTTACATCTCGTTAACAATCTTGTTAACTCACAATACCCACAGTTTGAGGACCTGGTTCTCCCCCCCTGCCTCCCCCCCCTCACCCAGCAGGTGTTTGAGCAGGGCCTGGTTCTGCTCCCAGATGCTGTTGAAGGTGGACCACCTGGAGCGCCCGTCGGGCAGCGGGTTCTTCTTCACCCAGCCTCCACAGGAGAACTGGTAGAAGTCAGAGCAGGGGTCCACGCTGCGGTCCATCGCCTCGCCCATCTGAGCCGCCACGGAGACGCAGGCCTCCGTCAGGCACAGGCCCCGCCCACCGTCTGAGGGGGGAGGAGTTACAGATTTATTACAAGTAAACAAGAACAATTATAAAGATTAAAGACCAATTTTTTTTGTGATTTATTTCAAACATGCAAAACTATAATCCAAAAAACAATAATAATAATGAAATGAAACAATTGAATTATGATACTGTACAAACTTAAGCAGTATCAAATTGGTAAACAAAAATATTATTGACTCACAAATTACACATCTGAAAAAGGGGCGGGAAGAAGTTTACACATATTTAACCTTTCTCCCGAAAACTAAATTATTAACATTTATTTTTTCTTATTATCTAAATGTCTATCTACATACAATATACATTTACAATAATAAATAGATTATATCATTATTACTATATATATACAGTGGGGAAAAAAGTATTTAGTCATCCACCAGTTGTGCAAGTTCTCCCACTTAAAAAGATGAGAGGCCTGTAATGTTCATCCTAGGTATACCTCAACTATGAGAGACAGAATGAGAAAAAGAAATCCAGAAAATCCCATTGTCTGATCTTTAACCCTCCGGTATCATTCGATTGGACTACGCAAATTAGTCAATCGAGACAAAAATGTCCACTGCAAAATACTTTGATAAAAACATTATATTAAAACGTTTTTTTCACAACTTTTTCGGGTTAAATCTTTAAAGCAACTAA